CTACTAAGCATAAAATCAATCAATCAATTTATCAAAACAAATCATCATTTCTCAAAGCATTTGAAATTACTGTTTATACTTAATTTAGCTCCCCTTTTCATTTAATTTATAATGGAAAATTTTCGAAATATTAATCTAAGAGTTAAAATCAATTTTGAAATAACTTTTTAAAAAACGCTTGCACATGTAATTTAAAAGTTTTTATAAGGATTTTACTTTTTGCACCGCACAATTTCATCACACACCCTCCTAAAATTTATAAAATGATTATTTTGCCTTGTGTAAAAGTAACTTCTAGATTATGTAGAACTCTTTGAAATAAGTTTTCCAGAAAAAGGATTGCATAAAAAAAATATTTTAAAACACGTGAAATATATTATGAAATGTAATTTTTAGAATAGATTTTTCAAAACACATATAATGTCTTTTATAATTAATTTTCCAAAACACCTTTCCATGAAATGTTTTAAAAAGAATTTTTCAAAATGAATTTTCTTTTTCTGCATTTTCTTCTTATTTTTCTTTGCAAAGTGGTAGTGGTATGAAGCAGTATTGAAAGGTATTTAATTCTTTTTATTATATTATGATGGTGCAATTAGTTCCTGTGAAGGTGCAGGAAGTAATAAAATTTTTTAATACAGTCCAGGTTACATCTTTAAAACATTTTAAGAATTTAAGAAGTTATTTGTGAAAAAAAGGTTCATGGAACCTATGGTCCAAACTAGTTTTCTTTTTCTGGTTTAATTACTTTTCTCCTTGATTTGAACTTCTTGTTCCTTATAATTTTCTCTATTTACTGTAAAAGACTTTCCACATATAAAAAATATACAATTTAATTACATCTTCACTTGTAAAATTTAGGATAATTCCAGTCTTAACTTTCCATATTAAAAAAACGTTATTTTACTCTCTTAAAATTTAAAAATATATAATTTTAAACGGTAAACACAAAACTCAGGATTAAAACAATATTTTAAACTATTTTAATCTCTCAAATTAGTTTTAAATACATATTTTACTAAATGTCAAGAATAAACATAATTTTTTAATTAGAAAACTTAACAGGAGTTTCAAAATTTCCGAAACCAAAAGCATTATTATGTTAAAATATATTATGAAAATTTCTTACAAATTAAACGGGAAAATGACTTTTCAAGTGTAAATAGCATACTTCTAAAAATCATTCCAAAGTATCCCATAAGGAAATTTCATGTGTCAAAAATACATCGTGAAATGCAAAAAAGGCACTATTTTTGCTTACAGCTAAAAAATGTATATAGACCTTCTAAATTCTAAAGTAAAACCATTAATACATCTTACAAAATCTCGATCCAAAATAGGTGAATCAAAATGAAGATTTTACACTCTGAAAAGAGATTTGATAGAGTTCAAGAAGAAAGTCTTCTATTTTAAGGATAAGTTACGATTTCTGGGCTAGAGAACTTTCGATATCTTGGATTTTAGGGTTTTCATGAGACTCCACGGCAGCATCATCAGTATGAATTACTGCCACCATGCTATCATCATTGCATGCTGGCCCTGGAATTTTATGGTCAACCGCCATGGCTGTCAATTGCTTTCAGAAACCCTAGCTATTAACCTGTCAGTATTTTTTTTTTTGTTTAACCTCACCTGTTCAAAAGTCTAGTTAAAATTATAGCTAGTCAAAGAACTGTCTCATTGAAAAAGGATTGTAGATGGGCATAATATCCCATAAATAAGTTAATGTTGACAACACACCAGCTG